AAAAAAAAAAAAAAAAAAAAAAAAAGAAGGCATTCTATATGTTGCGATATAGGTCAGTGGTGGTCGAAATGCTTACGTCCATGATCGGCGGTCTGTGCGTTTGTCCCGCTCAACGACCATTTGAAAGAACGAAGATATATGACATCTGGAATCTCTACAATTCTGTTGGTTCAATTAAAAAAAAAAAAAAAAAGTCAAATTTGGGTTTTTAGGGTTTGTCCTCTCCTGACAGTTCATCGTGCCAATTTAACCACCATTTGAAAGAATGAAAGAGACATCCAGAATCGCTACAATTCTGTTCGTTTAACGGAACTTTAACCCCAAAATTTGGGTGTTTGTGTTTGTCATTTTTCTTTTCTTTGTCTCCTGGTCCTTCACACGGATAGGGCGTTTTAATTGCTTTCTTCCGTATATGCCAAGAACTCCGGCGCTTTTGTGTGAAAAGAATTGGTGGGCTGGAGTTGAAGAAAGAAGAAAGAAGAAAGAGAAGAAAAAAGTGTGCCCATCTTGAACCATCTGCCTAATGGGCTGGCTTCATTATCGTGCACCTTCTCTGGAGCAGTTCTAATGCCAGTCGGCCAAGTCTGTCTCACATTCTAATGCCAGTCGGCCTGCCCGCTTTTCGACGCCCTTTGCTCTCGACCGTCAAGGGGACTGAAGAGTGTGTGGATCAATGGTTTGTGTGCAGTCATGGCTTTGCGCGTGGCCATGATCGGTAGTGCTAGCGCTGGTCGCGTTGCTCGATGTAGGGCCTCCTTCCTGATCGGATCGAACTACCTTCGTTCTCTGGTGGGCGGTAGTGGTGGTGGGGCGAAGTACGACGTCGCCGCCGAGGGGGGAGGGGCGGGGGCTTCGGGTGAAGGAAGCAAACATTGGCCTGTTGAAATTCGCCATCAGAAGGCAGAAAAGGCGATAGAAATAGAATTTGAGAACGGCAAACGGTTTCGTTACCCGGCTGAGCTCCTTCGTGTAGAAAGTCCGTCGGCAGATAACCAGAGGGTAACTGCCTCTGGAGAAAGACGAGTGGTGGCGGGCAGGCGTCAGGTGAGTATCGTGTCTCTTGAGCCTGTCGGAAACTATGGGTTGAGAATCGTTTTCGACGATCTGCATGACACGGGCATATACAATTGGAATTTCCTTTACGAACTCGGAGATGACAAGATTGCGAGGATCCGGTCCTATCTGCATCGACTTCGTGTGCATGGGTTGTCGAGAGACCGCCCGACAAGGGTCGGGTCCGCGGCCGCTTCCCGGCCTATGTCGAAATCGGGTTGACGGCGGCTGCATCTGTCAAAGGTACCACCAGAAATCTGGTTCCGGTTTTTCCGGTTTTTAATAGCAGAGCCCGACGATCGAATGCCTGCGCTGCTCTGCCAACCTCCGTGCCTCACCGAAACCGGCTGGATGCATGGTGGAGGGTGCAAGCCCGTCAGCGGACTCGACCAAGCAAGCTTGCCACCGTGAGGCAGGACCAGGGCCTACCTATCTACAGGGGGTGGACATACGCAGGTTACACAAAGGCCCACAGAAGGTGCACCTATCCCTTCCCCCCCCCCCCCCCCCCCCCCCCCCCCCCCCCCCCCCCCCCCCCCCCCCCCCCCCCCCCCACCTGCCCCCGGCAACCCCCTCCCCCCACCCCGCACCGCACCCCTTTGAACTCCTGTAACATCATCCAGCCCGAGCGAGCTCGATTGGTGGGAAACGGATCATATGCGCGTTCTGACTCTGCTGCATGACCACATGGTTAGCTGCGCATGGCTGGCATGGAACCTTCTTTTTTTTTTTGTGGCTGGCATGGAACCTTAATAGGCTGGGGGAATGCAAAGGTTGCTGCTTTGTAGAATCTTTTGGTAACCTACAACCTGCCGTCGGTTTGCTCGTAAGGGTTCGATGAAGGGGGCGTTTTTTGTGTTAAAAAAAAAAAAAAAAAGGGTTCGATCAGAACGGAAGGTATGGGGGGCCCTGCGAATTAGGCAATCACTGACTCTGGTGTCTGCTGAATGGAGAAGGAATGACACGGCCTCCCCCTCCACGACAATGTCAAAAAGGGCAGCCGCACATCGATCTTCAGGGCTTCTCGACAGGTTCACCCAGTTTCGGTTTTCGGGGGCATTGGCTGTGAACAGTATGAAGTCGTGCGAACTCGGATGATTGATGTGCTGGTCGATCCTCGATCTGACTATCTTTCGTAGAAAGAGACCGCGGGGGCAGAAAGAGATCGGGAGGTTCTGCAAAGTAGATCCACTGGTGTGGGCTATGGCCCTCCCTTCTTCCCAATCCGGTGCCTCGCTGACGCCAGTATGGAGGCCGTGCGGGCTATGGCAGGTAGGGTGCACGATTACCATCTCCTCTCGGGAAAACAGTGGGGCGCCTCGGTGACGCCAGGGAAATGTGTAGGGCCACAGGATCCTCGATCCTATATTATCGATTGACGTTGAAAGAAGTGCAAAGCTGTCCTTGTCGAAAACAACTAGAAAGTTCGTTGGTGGTGTAAGCCGTCTGCTGGGATTCCAGGGCCAAGCACACTATTCCTTCTTCTACACTTTCAGGCTTTCAGCTGAAATGCACTGAAGCACAGTGGGTGCCATTTCTAGCACCTGACAAGTCATTTACTGCCTGTAGTATCTCTGTATCCACTGTGAATTTCTTTTTGTTCTTTTTTTTTCCAGTGTGAAAATTTGACATGGGCAAAATGACGTTCAACAGTTCCAGGTACAAAAAAACGAAAAAGACATCGGTTAAATGAATAGCACTGCTCACCAGAATGGATGTGGAGCAGGGGTTATAACTTACAAGGCCCTGGAAGGGGGAAAGTAGGGGTGGCAATTTGATACCTTCTTGACGATTCCCTTCTTGTCACTCCATAACATATCACGCGGATTCACGCTTCTTAGAGAACTCCCCGCGCGCGCGTGAGAGAGAGAGAGAGAGAGAGAGAGAGAGAGAGAGAGAGAGAGAGAGAGAGAGAGAGAGAGAGAGAGAGAGAGAGAGAGATTTTTGTCTTCTGCATTCGGTATTCGGTAACTTGTACGCTTTTGTAGGAACGTTTGCTCCTTTTATGAATCCCCTGCGCCCCCCCCTTCTCCCCCCCCCCCGCCCA